GGTAGGATTACACCTCTGTAGGTAGGATCACACCTCTGTAGGTAGGATCACACCTCTGTAGGTAGGATCACACCTCTGAAGGTAGGATCACACCTCTGTAGGTAGGATCACACCTCTGTAGGTAGGATCACACCTCTGTAGGTAGGACCAACCTCTGTAGGTAGGATCACACCTCTGTAGGTAGGATCACACCTCTGTATGTAGGATCAACCTCTGTAAGTAGGGTCACATATCTGTAGGTAAGATCACATCTCTGTAGGTAGGATCACACCTCTGTAGGTAGGATCACACCTCTGTAGGTAAGATCACACCTCTGTAGGTAAGATTGCACCTCTGTAGGTAGCATCACAACTCTGTAGGTAGGATCACACCTCTGTAGGTAAGATTGCACCTCTGTAGGTAGGATCACAACTCTGTAGGTAGGATCACACCTCTGTAGGTAGGACCACATCTCTGTAGGTAGGATCACACCTATGTAGGTAGGATCACACCTCTGTTGGTATGATTACACCTCTGTAGGTAGGATCACACCTCTGTAGGTAGGATCACACCTCTGAAGATAGGATCACACCTCTGTAGGTAAGATCACACCTCCGTAGGTAGGATTACACCTCTGTAGGTAAGATCACACCTCTGTAGGTAAGATCACACCTCTGTAGGTAGGATCACACCTCTGTAGGTAGGATCACACCTCTGTAGGTAAGATCACACCTCTGTAGGTAGGATCACACCTCTGTAGGTAGGATTACACCTTTGTAGGTAAGATCACACCTCTGTAGGTAAGATCACACCTCTGTAGGTAGGATCACACCTCTGTAGGTAGGATCACACCTCTAGATAGGACCAACCTCTGTAGGTAAGATCACACCTCTGTAGATAGGATCATACCTCTGTAGGTTGGATCACACCTCTGTAGGTAAGATCACACCTCTGTAGGTAGGATCACACCTATGTAGGTAGTATCACACCTCTGTTGGTAAGATTACACCTCTGTGGGTAGGACCAACCTCTGTAGGTAGGATCACACCTCCATAGGTAGGATCACACCTCTGTAGGTAGGATCACACCTCTGTAGGTAGGATTACACCTCTGTAGGTAGGATATCACCTCTGCAGGTAGGATCACACCTCTGTAGGTTAGATCACACCTCTATAGGGTAGGATCTCACCTCTGTAGGTAGGATCACACCTCTGTAGGTAGGATCACACCTCTGTAGGTAGGATCACACCTCTAGATAGGACTAACCTCTGTAGGTAAGATCACACCTCTGTAGGTAGGATCACACCTCTGTAGGTAGGATCACACCTCTGTAGGTAGGATCAAACTTCTGTAGGTAGGATCACACCTCTGTAGGTAGGATCACACCTCTGTAGGTAGGACTAACCTCTGTAGGTAGGATCACACATCTGTAGGTAAAATCACACTTCTGTAGGTAAGATCTCACCTGTGTTGTTAAGTTCACACCTCTGTAGGTAGCATCACACCTCTGTAGGTAGGATCACACCTCTGTAGGTATGAGCACACCTCTTTAGGTAGGACCAACCTCTGTAGGTAGGATCAAACATCTGTAGGTAAAATCACACTTCTGTAGGTAGAGGACCACAGGTAGGATCACTCTGTAGGTAGGATCAAACATCTGTAGGTATGAACACATCTCTGTAGGTAAAATTACACCTCTGTAGGTAGGATCACACCTCTGTAGGAATGAGCACATCTCTGTATGTAGGATTGCCCTTCTGTAGGTAGGATCACACCTCTGTAGGTAGGATCACACTTCTGTAGGTAGGATTACACCTCTGTTGGTAAGATCACAACTCTGTAGGTAGGATCACACCTCTGTAGGTAGGACCAACCTCTGAGGGTAGGATTACACCTCTGTTAGTAGGATCACACCTCTGTAGGTAGGATCACACCTCTGTAGGTAGGATCACACCTCTGTAGGTAGGATCACACCTCTGTAGGTAAGATCACACCTCTGTAGATAGGATCACACCTCTGTAGGTAGGATCACACCTCTGTAGGTAAGATCACACCTCTGTAGGTAGGATCACACCTCTGTAGGTAGGATCACACCTCTGTAGGTAGGACCACACCTCTGTAGGTAGGATCACACCTCTGTAGGTAGGATCACACCTCTGTAGGTAGGATCACACCTCTGTAGGTAGGATCACACCTCTGTAGGTAGGATCACACCTCTGTAGGTAGGATCACACCTCTGTAGGTAGGATCACACCTCTGTAGGTAGGATCACACCTCTGTAGGTAGGATCACACCTCTGTAGGTAGGGTTACACCTCTGTAGGTAGGATCACACCTCTGTAGGTAGGATCACACCTCTGTAGGTAGGATCACACCTCTGTAGGTAGGATCACACCTCTGTAGGTAGGATCACACCTCTGTAGGTAGGATCACACATCTGTAGGTAGGATCACACTTCTGTAGGTAGGATCACACCTCTGTAGGTAGGACCAACCTCTGTAGGTAAGATCACACCACTGTAAGTAGGATCACACATCTGTAGGTAGGATCACACCTCTGTAGGTAGGATCACACCTCTGTAGGTAGGATCACACATCTGTAGGTAGGATCACACTTCTGTGGGTAAGATTACACCTCTATAGGTAGGACCAACCTCTGTAGGTAGGATTACACCTCTGTTAGTAGGATCACACTTCTGTAGGTAAGATCACACCTCTGTAGGTAGGATCACACCTCTAGGTAGGACTAACCTCTGTAGGTAGGATTACACCTCTGTAGGTAGGATCAACCTCTGTAGGTAGGATCACACCTCTGTAGGTAGGATCACACCTCTGTAGGTAGGATCACACCTCTGTAGGTAGGATCACACCTCTGTAGGTAGGATCACACCTCTGTAGGTAGGATCACACCTCTGTAGGTAGGATCACACCTCTGTAGGTAGGACCAACCTCTGGGGGTAGTATTACACCTCTGTAGGTAGGATCACACCTCTGTAGAAATGAGCATACCTCTGTAGGTTCGATTGCACCTCTGTAGGTAAGATCACACCTCTGTAGATAGGATCATACCTCTGTAGGTAGGATCACACCTATGTAGGTAGTATCACACCTCTGTAGGTAGGATTACACCTCTGTAGGTAGGATCACACCTCTGTAGGTAGGATCACACCTCTGTAGGTAGGATCACACCTCTGTAGGTAGGATCACACCTCTGTAGGTAGGATCACACCTCTGTAGGTAAGATCACACCTCTGTAGGTAGGATCACACTTCTGTAGGTAGGATCACACCTCTGTAGGTAAGATCACACCTCTGTGGGTAGGACCAACCTCTGTAGGTAAGATCACACCTCTGTAGGTAGGATCACACCTCTGTAGGTAGGATTACACCTCTGTAGGTAGGACCACACCTCTGTAGGTAGGATCACACCTCTGTAGGTAGGATCACACCTCTAGATAGGATCACACCTCTGTAGGTAAGATTACACCTCTCTAGGTAGGATCACACCTCTGTAGGAATGAGCACACCTCTGTAGGTAGGATTACACCTCTGTAGGTAGGATCACACCTCTGTAGGTAGGACATACCTCTGTAGGTAGGATCACACCTTTGTAGGTAAGATTGCACCTCTGTAGGTAGGATCACAACTCTGTAGGTAGGATCACACCTCTGTAGGTAAGATCACACCTCTGTAGGTAGGATCACACCTCTGTAGGTAGGATCACACCTCTGTAGGTAGGATCACACCTCTGTAGGTAGGATCACACCTCTGTAGGTAGGATCACACCTCTGTAGGTAAGATTGCACCTCTGTAGGTAGGATCACAACTCTGTAGGTAGGATCACACCTCTGTAGGTAGGACCAACCTCTGGGGGTAGTATTACACCTCTGTAGGTAGGATTACACCTCTGTAGGTAGGATCACATCTCTGTAAATAAGATCACACCTCTGTAGGTAGGATCACACATCTGTAGGTAGGATCACACTTCTGTGGGTAAGATTATACCTCTGTAGGTAAGATCACACCTCTGTAGGTAAGATCACATCTCTGTAGGTAGGATCACACCTCTGTAGGTAAGATTGCACCTCTGTAGGTAGGATCACAACTCTGTAGGTAGGATCACACCTCTGTAGGTAGGACCACACCTCTGTAGGTAGGATCACACCTCTGTAGGTAGGATCACACCTCTGTAGGTAGGTAGGATCACACCTCTGTTAGTAAGATTACACCGCTGTAGATACGATCACACCTCTGTAAGTAGGAACAACCTCTTTAGGTAGGATCACACCTCTGTAGGTAGGGTCACACCTCTGTAGGTAGGATCACACATCTGTAGATAAGATTACACCTCTGTAGATAAGATCACACCTCTGAAGGTAGGACCAACCTCTGTAGGTAGGATCACACCTCTGTAGGTAGGATCACACCTCTGTAGGTAGGATCAGACCTCTGTAGGTAGGATCACACCTCTGTAGGTAGGATCACACCTCTGTGGGTAAGATTACACATCTGTAGGTACGACCAACCTCTGTGGGTAGTATCACACCTCTGTAGGTAGGATCACACCTCTGTAGGTAGGATCACACCTCTGTAGGTAGGATCACACCTCTGTAGGTACGATCACACCTCTGTAGGTAGGATCACACCTCTGTAGGTAGGATCACACCTCTGTAGGTAGGATCACACCTCTGTAGGTATGATCACACCTCTGTAGGTAGGATCACACCTCTGTAGGTAGGATCACACTTCTGTAAGTAGGATCACACCTCTGTAGGTAGGATCACATCTCTGTAGGTAGGATCACACCTCTGTAGGTAAGATCACACCTCTGTAGGTAAGATCACACCTCTGTAGGTAAGATCACACCTCTGTAGGTAGGACCAACCTCTGTAGGTAAGATCACACCTTTGCAAGCGTAAAAATAATCCAAAGTTTAATCATATTTAGTATTCATATCTTTATTTTGTTCATAGGAACTTATTATGGGATACCTTTAAACTTAACACACAAATACAAACAGATACTAATGTTCATTAAGGAGTCTTTTTTATTTTGTTGCAAATCAAGTATATCACAGATTATAAGATACTATCATTTCACAAGATAAATTCATTCAGTCAATGTCATGCTATAACTGAAACACTGCATTGCTGTTAATCAAGCTTTTATTCATCACGGTGACTGGATAACCAGTATGAGCCCCCTTAGCAGAAAGTATTGCTACTGAAATGAAAGGTGTCTGCCTAATTTAAAGTGAACGTCATTTTGATATAACTAAGCAGGATTTGGATATCCCTTATCTATGCACAATAAATCTAGTACATATAACTATTTCAGAATAACTGTTTCATGTCTGTAAGATTCCAGTTGCCACATTGCTCTTTCTACCGCTTCCCTCTCCTCATTAGTCAAGTGAGTGTATCCTTTATTGAGAATTTGAAATATTTAAGAAACTAAGTCAAGGTTTCCCTGCTTTGACCTGTTTATCTCCCCCACGATGAAGTTCTGTGAGAGCCCATTGCTTGTTGTCCTTCTCTTCTTTGAGTTTCCTATATTCTTCTACCAATTCATCAAATCCCATACCCACTGCCTCATATGATTGAAGTGCCTGGGAAATGTGGTGGAATTCTTTATCGCTTTCACGGAAGTTGGCATCTAAGTGACATCTGCAATGTATATTTTGATAAAAAGTGTCAATCCTACACAAACAAGAATGATGTAACAGATAAGTCCGATAAGAGAAGATGCTGAAATTGAGGTTAAATCATACCGTAGAATTAATACAGAATGTTAAACAACAGGCCCATAAGGCCTGTATTGCTCACCTGTTTTAGTTCATTGAAACTGATTTGTTTAAAGTTTAAAGGAAAAGTATTTAAAACACTTGTATCTACTTCCCCTATTAGGCCCTGCCCCTCCTCAAGTGGGTCAGACGTTTGTTAAAAACTAAATTCACTTCACCAGGGATACTTCAATTCAAAAAGGGGCAAAATTGAATCATTCCAACAGAAGTAAGATTTTGAAGAATTTACCCTATTTCCAGTATTGGACCTTGCCCCTCATGTCCAAGGAGGCCAAAACCAATTATTCATACAAAATTAATACCTTTCACCCAAGCATGTCTCTGACCAAATGTTGACACTGCCCAGGCACATGTATAAAAAAAGAATGGTTTTAAAGCATTTGCTCTGTCATTCAGTACATGTAGGGGGGATTTATAGGATAAGTTGACAAATATACTATATTTCCACAATGAGACCCTGCCTCTCTGGTCCCAGGGGATCAGACCCACCATTTATACAAAACTGATTTCCCTTTGCCCACCAAGCATGCTTCAGATCAAATTTGGATAATATTCTGCAATTCCTGAAGAACAAGACCGCTTATAAAAAAATGATAGATTTTCTCCATTGGGTGCCACCTCTAGGGTCCCAGGGGGTCCAGACAGCCCTTTGGGCTGGGTTAGAGGAAAGTGAACTGATCATAAATCAGGGGATTTTAGACTTCTGGACTTGTATGTAGTATCTGATGTCTGAACAGCTTAAATATAAGACAGTATCTATTGCATAACATTGGACAACTCATTCAAAACCAACTAATACATTGTTGTTATCAAAACCCATACTGCCTAATAATTAACAATAGATAATGAGGATATCTCATCTATTAAAAAGATTTATAATCATATTGAATACAGGTGTCAATATCATGAAAAATTTTCAGTATGTTTCTATACAAATTCTCTTTATAAATCACACCTCTAAAAACAAATTTTTGCTGTTTGAAATTAAAGCAAACTTGAAAAAAACAGGAACCAGTACAAGAATCAAACTCAGTACCATTATGTCTTCACACTGTAATATTACTGATGCAGCAGTGGTTAATCATTTGCTAGTCATATACGGTGGAATTTGTTCAATATCTTGTTCCATTTGTCAGAATAAAATGCAATAATAACCAGAATGTGACATTAAACAGTTGAAATATCTTTTTGGGATGTTTATTCCCCAAAGGTAACTTTCCGGTGTGCCAAACTCACTTTTTTGTTATAGAAATTGTTGGAAACAAAAATTTGTACCAACAACCAATCGTAAAAAAAATTCTTTCAATCATTGTGCATCAGAATGTTTGTTTACATATGAACAGGATTCAAACAGGATAACAATTAATGAAACAAAGAACACACCATTGTACCTGTGTAATCAAAAGATAGAAACAAATGTGTTGTGTGTCTTCATATATAATTATGCTCTCAAAAGTTGACTTTCGTAGCTTTGGTTGTCTCCCTTGATCAGTAAACATCTTTGCACATAGCTCAAAATCTACACAAACCGAATATCAAGCATATTCTCTCAGATATTTAAGAAGTTGTGACCTACCTGACAGAAAGTAAGGCCTTCACTGTATCCTTGGTGTATGTATCACACAGGACTTGCATCTCTAACAATCTGAAGTACAGTGTAAATACAAGAAGTCTGAATTTTAAAACTTCCACATGCTAACATTTTCTGTAAACCTCTTATACATTACAATCTTTGTTAATTCTTTGACTGAATCGTTTTCCAAAACACATTCATGTAATTCTATTAGCTCATCTGGCCCTATGGGCCCATTGTGCAGCATGGCGGCTACGTCGTACAGCATCAACTTTTTTCTTAAACAACTTCTTCTCATCAACCAATGGACCAAATGTTTTGATATTTGGCTGGTATGTTGCTATGATGAAGCCCAACAAAGTTTGCAAAACGGAAATGACCTTGACCTATATTCAAGGTCACAGGGGTCAAATTTGTTAAAAAATTCAAACAACTTCTTTTCATGATTTGAAAGGCCTAGAGGATATTTGGCTGTTATGTTCCTAGGATGAAGCCCGACAAAGTTTGTGAAAAGAAATGACCATATTCAAGGTCACAGGGGTCTAATTTGCTGGTATATATATACACAAGCTGAGCACAGCAAGCCCACTGGGCCTCTTGTTTACTTCAAAGTAAAATTCCAACAAGCTTTTATGTAAATATTTTCTCTAATTCAAAGACTCTGACATCTAAACTTAATGATATCCCGAAGACAGGAGATAGATTCTAGAGATTTGAACTAAAACTCAACTAATTTATTTGGAGTTCTTAATTGTGAATTTTTTTTAACTTATTCCTTTTACAGCCAATTAATAAAACAGTTGTGTTTGATCTCATTTGAAAACAATTATTCATCAAAACAGAATATTGCGATTTCTAATTTGATGAGTAAGTTATGTATCATGTAATAAACTATTTTTAGAGTATAAGTTAGTGTGAAAAAAAAATATGAGTCAGTCAGTGTTGAATTTTTAAAAAACCATAATTATAATTAAAATCATTGCCATTTTGCCAAAACCTTGCAGCAAACAGATATATCTATTTTTGCAATTTTTATTCAACCCTCGAAAATAGTGGAAAATAAAGTCCCTCGAAAATAACAAATTTACAGTAATGTAGAGCTGTCTTCATTCCTACACATACCTGATTTTGAGACATAGCCCATCACACCGGCTCATCAACCATTCTGTTGTGACAGTGTTCTGTTCAGTCTGATTCTGGAATCTATATTTGGACACAACCTCCTCTAGCAACCCCAAGGAGTCTATCAGTGTCTACGGACAAAACAACAAGTGTTAAATTATGTTTGAAGAGGTAGTTTCATTGGTGGTGAGGATTGTTCCTAAAAGAAAAAAGTAACATCACTTTGCCCCTAGCTGAGGACATTTATGAAGGCTAAGCAAACATGAGGGCTAGGACATTCAACTGAAAGATACAATAAATCAAAGATATAGGTGAACAAATATAGTATAATCCTGTGAAAGGTCATTAAGAGTGTATGTGCATAATAAGAAAGCGATTTCTGAAATGGTAAAAATACTAAACGGTATGAAGATAATGAAACATATTCTACAAAGGAAGAAAAGCAAAATGCAAGTAAAGCATAAAGTCCATCAAATGAAGCAGGAGGAAGTTTTTACTTCATTCCTTTTTATTAAAATTATCATTAATGAGGAAAATGATTAAATCAAGAATCTGATTATATCATCTGTTTTTGTTTTTATCAGTTTGATCATTTCATTTCTTTCTCATCTCTCCAATTATCACTTATACACTACAATGGACAAAGGGGTACTTAGTACAGTGTATATTGTATATCTATTAAAAGTGAAAATGATTCATCCAAGACATAGTGATAACCAACTACCACCCTCATAATTCATGATGGCTACCTGTCTGTCATTTAGTGTTTTTGTGATAAGCCTCAAAATTAAACAAACATGACATGGAATCAATGGGAGCCTAAAAAGGGCATTTGTGCAGTACTTAAGAAATAGAGATAACAATAGGTTACTATTTAAAAACAAAAAGACAACAGACAACGGACTGATGAAGGACAATTATAAACACCATTTTCACATGATGGGCTAAAATACATGATCACATTTAATCTCAATAGAATGAAAACTGATTGATCCATCAATTATCCTAAGACTTAAGTGATCTGGAATTAGGGTATTTTGTTGAAATTTTGTTGGTCCTCACAATATCATCTATACCTGAGTTTCTGTGACTACACATTCATTCATATTGTATTGACAAGATTCAAGTCTGGATTACAGATCAAAATCAGAAGCAATACAGAGTTACAGTTTATTTATATTTTTCTTTTCAGAATTTATCACTAGAAAATAGTTGACTTTAATTAATAACATTTGTTATTAATTTTGAAAGTTTTATATCTTACGCGATATATCAAGTATGTAGATTGTTCAAAGAACTGAGTCTCAAGTTTATAGTACACCTACCTTGTAGTACAGCCAGAACTGCTTGTCTTTGTCATGTTTCACCTTTTTCAATATAGCCTTTTTTTTCTGTAGTCGGTGTTTATCAGATTCAACAAGAGCAGGTAACTGTGTTGTAGGGTTGAATGATGGTTCGATGTCACCTTGTGATACAAATTATATCATTCAAGTAAAGCATACATATGTACATGAAACTTGTGATGGTGGGTATGTTTGTTGGTTGAGTTTATCAGCCTGTGTACAGCCAGGGGCCTTTTGTAACGGGGTCATCTTGCAGTAGATGTTGGCAGACCCATCACATAAGTAAGATAAAGCCTCTTGCCCAAGTATACAACCATGTTGGCAAAGACCAGTCCATTTTCTCAAACTTCAAGAGAAACACAAACCACTAAGGGAAGGCAGCATCCTAGGATTACACCTGAAGTTACGTAGGCTAATGAAGTCTCTAAGCCATTGCAGCCCCTGAGTGCCGATGGGCTATTATCTCAACTGTCTAACAAGAGTTCCTGTATGTGTCACCTGCATAAAGTGTCACAGTCACCCAGAAATTGAACTGGATGTGCAACGATCAACCATAAAGTTGTAATACCAAATTTCATTTCTATAACTTGAAGCATAAAGGGAAAACTGCGCAAAGCAATATTCCTGAGAAATTTTCCAAGTTCAAAGGGACATATCACTGCCAAGAAGGGTTACAGACAGCATATAGCAAATGTCATTTCTATAACTCAAAGCATAACCAAAGAAAGTCAAGAAAACAATATTTCCGGAGAATTTTCTAAGTTCAAATGGGCATAACTCTGACAAAAAGGGCCAAAGACAGCCGGGAATCAAACTTAAGCTGAACCCTTGCAACAAGAAGCCATATACCAAATTTCTTTTCGATAACTCAAAGCATAAGCCAAAAAAGTCTGGAAAACAATATTCCCAGGAAATTTTCTAAGTTGAAAGGGGCATAACTCTGACAAAAAGGGTCACAGACAGCCTGGAATCAAACTTAAGCTGTACCCTTGCAACAAGAAGCCATATCCAAAATTTCATTTCGATAACTCAAAGCATTACCGAAAAAAGTCTGGAAAGCTTTTGTACAGAAGCCGATGACACTGACGATGCATGACAAGGTGATCCCTAAGTGTCCGCCAGCTCTGCAGGCGACACAAAAATGGTTTTGGTCAGGCACTAATCAGTAAAGTCATAACACTTTGATGAACACCAGTATCCCCATTAACCAACTCTCATTGAATATATATACCATTATAGATCTAACTCCTAAATGAGGGCACAGAACCCCATAAATTTGTAAAATTCCAAGATTCCTGGTTTTCAAGGGCTCTCCTATATGAATATGTTGTTAGGGGTAAATTGCATCTTCAGTTTAAAGAGGCGAGGGGGAACACTGTGTTTATCATTATACTAGTGGGTGATATATAACTCCTTATCAGGCAGTGGGCTTATCAGAAAGATGAAATAGCATTTGGTTTGTGATTAATCTTATCTGACTTTTGTATCAGTTTGTTACCATGTGTAAGGATTTGGTTGATGAATAGTTTTTACATGCAAAGTCCAGCAAAAGATGATGGTTGTGAATAAGTGTGTGAAGTTTCTGGGCAATCTGGTAATCTTTAAATAAAGTACGTGGAACAAGGATGTAACCAACATATTTATTGCAGCATTAAATTTTGACCCTGGAAGGTTGAGACGCAAACTCATACAAAAGATGATGACCAAATGAAACTGTGTAAAGTTTCAGAACAATTTGATATATAATAATGAAACCGAAAGAGAGTGGATGGAAAAAAAAATATTTATAGTAAAACTGACCTACATTTAGGACAGTAAAAATCAATTTATAGTAACAATTACCTCAGTCTTAGACCTATGGAAGGTTGAGACACAAACTTGTATAAGGAATCATGCTTATAAGTAAATGTGTAAATAATTAATGAAGATGACAGAACAAGGACATTACTGGATAACAAACAAGCACATAATATATACACACACAGACAGATCCCTAAATCACATCACTAACTCATCGTGAGGGGATAAGAAGAGAGCTAGTCTCAGTAGTCAGGTATTAGATTGGACAGATTCTATTTCAATTTTTACCTTCCTCTAGACCAATCTGATGAAAGTTATTGAGAGTGTCACATTTCTCCCTCAGTCTCTTTTCTATGTCTGGGATCAGCTTTTGTTGTATGAAAGGAAGATGCTAAAACAATAAGACAATCACAGATCACCTCTACATTAAAGACATTGTGGAGTATTGAAGGGAGGACCATTTGCTTCCTAATACATAAGAAATTATCTTTATCAAATAATTAAACTTTATTACTATCAATGCATGCTTTCAGGATTTAAATAAACACTGAACATTGTAATAATAAAACAAGTATGATCTCATTTATTTTTGACATCAAACATATCCTCTGTTTTTCTTTTCCATAAAGAAAAAAGGAAGCTAACAGGCCTTCCTCATTCTTACCTATAGAGAGCAAAGCCTCTAAAAACAAAGTTGACAAACATTAGATATATAAATAATCAACATAAATACTATTCCATTTAGCAATGGCATCTAATGATCATTGGTATCACTCTTACATAATGGAAGTAAAACATACATTCCCTTTAGGTAAAACACACTAAATCTATCATTTTGTCAGCAAGTTAAAATTCTAGAGAAGCTAAAATGTTACATATATAGTTCTTTGTGTCATTACAAACAACAACCATATGAAATAGTATGATCACACAATTTGTAACTCAAATTCTTATACAAAAGGGTACATTTAAAGTCTAAGTTCTAGTTTTTCTTCTTCCATTTATTTGAAAGAAAAGAAGTTTATTGGGCAGTGCAATCTAAGTAACCTGTAGAGCAGTTCTCATGGAGTGAAGTGTCAAGTGTTTCTCCAGGAGTGTACCATGTACAAATTTGTATTGTGGATTTATTTGGTGTTAAGAACAGAATAACAGAATTCTAAATTGGAGTTGTTCCTGTCAGTCAGTGACAACAAGCACAATGACTTTTTGTTTGTTAAGGCTTCCACATGTGGACTGTCAGATCGACCTCTAGAAGAGGATGTTAAAAAACTGGGTAATTTTGTATGTTATGGTGTTTATAAAAATTTGTGGCAAATTATGTGCGTGACAATATATTGGTTCTTTCATCATTTCCAAAATTTTCTGAGTTACTTCAGTTGTCTATGAAGACTTAGGTCAAACTTATATTGATCAATATATTGATACTGAACGTGACACACAGCTATTCTTGTATCCATGGGAGACAACTGACAGTATTCCTTCACAGAATCTTTGTATATTCTCTATACTATTTGGTACACTAGTGACTTACAGACAAATGCAATACAGAATGGAAATATTCTTTGACAATTATATATGTTAATTTCTTGCTATATGAAGTACAATTTGAAAAATTACCTTTTTGAGACGGTTTTGCTGGGACAGTTCTGCTTTACTGAGACCTAACAGTGTGTCTTTAGAGGAGGGATCTGGTGAACAGTCCAAGTAGTCAGATATCTCTGCTTGAGTCAGTGTCTCCAGTAGGATGGTGTGAAACTGGTGGAAACAAGATGTTGAGGAACCAAATAAGCTGAAGGTGTTGAGGGGACAAATAGGATGAAGGTGTTAAGAGAACACATAAGATGAAGGTGTTGGGAGAACAAATAAGATGAAGGTGTTGGGAGAATAAATAAGGTTAAGGTGTTGGGAGAATAAATAGGATGAAGGTGTTGGGAGAACACATAGGATGAAGGTGTTGGGAGAATAAATAGGATGAAGATGTTGGGAGAACAAATAAGATGAAGGTGTCGTTGGAACATATACATGTAATATCCACGCATCAACTTATTTTGCTCTTTTTCACAGCCAAAAAAACAGGCAGCTTTCCTCAGTTCAAAAATTGCTGATTTTTCCCCCTTTCCAAAAAGAAGAAAACTGGAATATCTTCCCATTTCTTACAAATATCAATGCACTTCCTATATTTAAGAAGCATTGGGTTACTGTAGAATGTTGAGAAAACACTGCTACTCTTGTCAGTCTACCAGATATGCATGTACCATTTACTTATAAACATATAAACTACCTGTTTGTCTTCTGTAGAGAGAGCAGTGTCTTGGGACTTTATGTCATATTCTCGCAAAAGTTCTGCAAGCTCATGGTAGAGAATATTCTGTAACAGCCAACTATGTTTTTCATGTTTCAGCTCTTCTTCTGCCTACAAAAATCAATTAATCAAAATATATTTAGTTTTTCTGGCAATAAGCCTCAGTCATGTAGTAACCTTATCTACATAAGCAGAATTCAATATACCACTTGGTTGTCCTTGGTTGACAGTCTTGTAATAAACCCACACCTTGACTTTGAGTCAAAGCTAAATGTTGGCCCCATGAGGTCCTCTTATAGGCCCACCCCTTGACTTTGAGTCAAAGCTAAATGTTGGCCCCATGAGGTCCTCTTATAGGCCCACCCCTTGACTTTGAGTCAAAGCTAAATGTTGGCCCCATGAGGTCCTCTTATATGCCCACCTCATGACGAGTCAGAGCTATAAGTTGGCTCATGAGGTCCTGTTATAAGCCCACCCCATGACTTTGGGTCATAGCTATATGTTTGCCCACGAGGTTCTCTAATAAGCCCATCCCTTGATTTTGAGTCAGAGCTATATGTTGGCCAATGAGGTCCTGTAATAAGCCCAACATTTGTCTTTGAATCAAGAGTGCCTCTAATGTCCATTAATAAGCTGACCTTCTGACTTTGAGGCAGTGCTTTTTGAAGTTATTGGTAGGATATATATGGCTATATTAGAGAATAAGTCTAGCTAACTAGTCTATCAATTAACATAATAGTGCGTTAAATGTTTGCAATTTCTTCACCAAAAATTGTCTCCAGTTCTAGATAATAAAGATTTTCAAGAATTTGCTCTATTTCCACAATTTAGCCATGCCCCTGTGGTTTCAATGGGCTGGAACCTAATTTTCACACAAGAATTTTCACACCTTAGACAGGCAATATTGAATATAAAGGTTAATGGGAAAATAGCTTTCAAATGTCATGAAAAAAAATTGTGACATTGATGACAGTAAGCAAGTGTCAATACATGCATACCATCAAAACTGTCATCCTATACTAATAAACCTTACAAAGTTATTGCCAGCAGGAAATAACCAACATTATTCTCTATGAAAATTATAGTAAAGTCTAAAAAAACATTCTTCCCAAGTCATTCTTCATTCATAATTCTAACAAAGTTTGAAATATTTCCAATGAAAATTAAACAAATCATACTCAAAAAATTATCTTTTCTATTGTAATTATAGTAAACTTTACCCCATCTGCATGAGGAAATGGGAGATCCTGGGGCCATGAAATTCACAATTTTTGTAAACCACCTTAAGACGCTTCCATCGATGAAGAGCATTTGATACTACCATATCTGGGTGTTGAAAAGAAGCTTTTTGAAATCTGAATCAATTTGACCCATTTTGGTCCCTCCCATCAGCCCCTGGAGGTCAACCAGGATCAATATGGGCATACCATCAAGCTGCTATCCTTTGCTTTTAATTCTAAGCAAGTTTGAAATATTTCCAATGGTAATTAAACAAATTATACTCAAAAATCTGTCTTTCCTATATAAAACTATTGTAAACATTACGCCCCCTCCACAGGGAATTAGGACACCCTGGGCCCATGAAATTCACAATTTTTGTTAACCACCTTAAGATGTTCCAATTCATGAAGAACATTTGATACTATCACATCTGGGTCTTGAGAAGAAGATTTTTGAAGTTTCAGTAAATATGACCCTTTTGAAAGCCCTGTCCCTCAGACTACCGTGGGGTGGGGAACATATGATTTACTTATTTTTTTCATCTTAGACCAGGGAATATTCCTGCAAAATTTCATTGAAATCGGTTCAGGAAATTTTGAGAAAAAACTGAAAATGTTAAATTGTGCACAACGCCAGATAAAGGTGGCCGTATTATGTGACCTAATAAAATTGACCCCATTTCCTCAACATGTCTTACACCAAATTGTGACAGAATCCAAGCATGCATTAGGCCATATTGGGACAACATCCAGGTATTCTCACAAAAGAAAATGGATTTTAAAAGAATTTACTCTATTTCCCCTTTTAGGCCTGCCGAGCCCAACAACCCTAAAGGGCCAAAACCAAAAGTTTATATAAAATTATTTGCTCTTCATCAAAGAATGCTTCAAATCAAACATGGACAAAATACATCAATTCTTACAAGAGGAGTATTTTAAGTATATGCAAGTATCTTATCTTAATTAGCTATATTTCCCCTATTTGTCCACCATTTCTACAAAACTGATTTCCCTTCATCCAAGCATGCTTCAGACCAACTATGGACAATATCTGGCAATTCGAGAAGAGCAAGATATATTTTAAAGAAATTGATAGATTTTCCCTATCGGGCCCCAGGGGTGGAGACCCATGGTTTATACAAAACTGACTTCCTTTCAGACCAATTTTGGACAACATCCAGCATTTCCTAAAGAACAAGATAGATTTTAAAGAAATTGGTTGATTTTACCTATTGGGCCCTGCCCCTCAGGCTTGTGGGTGGCCAGAACCACCATCTACATCAATTTAGTTCCACTTTCCACAAGGTTTCAGACCAAATTTAATCAAAATCTGCTCAGTCATTCATGACTAGTTGCGATATATAGTAAAAGTTGGCAGACGAGGGGCGATGGATGTTGGACAGACGACAGATGACGCTGTATCCATAGAGCTCTCCCGGGCAAGTGAGCTAATTAAATTTTGAATTCATTGTGGGATCCTGTAGCAGGAATGTACACACTACATTATACTACATATATACTGCATGTGACCCATCACCAGTAATTTTTGTAGGACTTTTTTCTGCTGATTCCAGTTTGGGTTCTCAAAATTTGAGAGAATCCCAAAGGAAAGGTACAAGTCCTTGAGTCAAATATTTGAGTACAAAAAATCATTGTTTACTGTGTGCTTTCCTCAACAACAGTGATCTGACTACAAAATCTTTAAGTAGGGTGAGCAGTTGTTTTTATACTTAGTATGAAATCTTACTAAGAAGCTGTTTTCATGATGCAGATGGCAGTTTTGGTGAAGAGTAGCTTACTGTAACAAGTGTTACCTATTTTTTGACAGTAAAGTAGGAGCTCAATTCCACTGGTGAAACATTAAAAGTTGCACAGGAAAATCATGATTGCGAAATCATATCAAAAATGGTCTCCCTGGCTGTCATGTCAAAGTTTTGACAAGATCGAAAAATAACAACACTTTGCTGGATTTCGAGGACAGATAAAGCACAATGGCTATAGGTCTCCATGACCCTTAAAGTCAGATGCCTAAACATTCATTATTAGTTGCATCTTAAAGTCAACTTGTACATTAAATTACCTGTTGCAGATCTCTCTGTACTAAAGATGATATCCCTTCATAATTTATATGATTGGTAAGGACCGACAGTAGATGGGAGAAATCTGGAAAGCTTTGAACATCTTCAGCATTTAATTCAATTCCTAAAGCTGCATTTACTACAAATTTCAGTTGAAAAAATAATCACAACAATGTAAGAACAACAGAGAACAAAACATGTAGGTTTATATATCTTGGCGATTCATCCCATATATCCCCAGTCAAAATTATTCTCAAGTTCGACTTTTATTTATTTCAGCTTAAAATCAATGAACTCCAAGCTGATATATAGGTAAAACATCAGAATAATTCTGACTAAAATAAATATCATTTGTATCAAATCCCTGTGGATTCATGTATGGAATTGTAAATACTCAGAAAATGAAACCAAAACAAAAATGTTTGATATGTGAAATAGTACTAATCAAACTAAAAAGTACTAAAACAGCAAGGATTCTATTTCATAACAGGACTCATGCAATTTCTAAATGTAAACATATCAAGTGAAAATGTGCATTTTTACTTGGGCGGTTTGCTTTCGACAGGTTGGGCACAACATTTCATATGGGTAATAGTCCTACATTTGAGGGAAAGTTACTGCTTTGAGTAATCAGTACACTGTAAACTCAATTGCAGTGTCATTCTTAAATAGAAACGCACAGTAGTAATGGAAAATTTGTAAGAAAGTATGAAATTTCCATCTAGTTGTGTCAAACATGTTACTACTGTGCCTGTTCAAGCTACAGGTGCCTGTATGTGAAAGTACAATATAACATTGCTAGACAAGAAAATGTAGGCAGTAATTAGTAAAGTCAACAACATGATGTCCTTTACGTTTGTCCGATAAGTTAGTGCTGCTGTTTTCCATCATTTAGCTATTTCATTGATCCGCTCCTTCTCCTAACCTAGACATTGTACCTCCCGCTTCAAGCGCCATTTAGAGTCAGATGAATATACTAAAATTAAAATATCTATAGTCACAGAAATTCCGGATTATTTAGTTAGTGCCCGAAAAGGCAAAATGACGGCTCATAGGAAAGTGAACGATAAACGTCCTCACAATAACGCCCTGTCCCATTTAGTAGACACCGATGTTCAATCAATTTTTGACTTAATATTATTGCAATGTTTATTACATAGCGAATCAACTGATCAGTTTAATTTAATTAGATTTCAACAAATATAGCACTCTTTAACAACTATTTTTACATGAACAATATCAATATCAAACGACTTAAAGTAACACAAAATAAATTATTACACTAAGCGTTGTGGTTGTGTAACGTGCAGCCTAGCTTTAAACACGGCGGGTAAGTCTCTGATTCCTTGCAGAGATACTAGCTAACAAATGCCGATATATACATATAGCGTGTAACAGCAAACTCTACCTGAGTTAACAATAAAACTAACGAAAAAAATAGTACTCACATGGACTGCTGTTCCGACACAGACTGTTCTGACTAGCGCGCGAGCTTGAGTGCAAGCTCGACACCCAGTGACTTCACCTAATCCTAGTTCCAGCTACTGAACTAGTCGCCGAGCAATACAACTTAGTCGGTCCTGACTAAGCGCTAGGTTGTCCTACCAACTAAGTCAACACTTGCTCGTGTTCCTAGCTCGGGTTCTAACCTAACCCTATAGCTAGCTACCACAATTAAAAGTCCAAGCTTCGGTGAGAAATAAACAGCCCTCGCCCCAGCTTGACAAGCGGTTTCGGAAAAGCCACTGTTTCAGACTTTCACCCACCACCTGATACAAATAACTGTGTTACAACTTTGTAAGAAGTCTTTCGTCGTCTGTGTATCTCTGAAAGCTTCACCAACAGTCAGTATAACAGCGTTTTAAAAACTCAAAAGTAATTCATAGTTACATGTATAATAATTTTTTTCATTAGGCGTGACAATCGTTGGTATTTAATTTACCATAAATGATGTATACTAAAATATTAACATAGTACAGAATACCTTTCCATACCTTACTACAGAATTATAAACATTTGTATTAATCGACAAAAAATCATTAGATGAACAAATTAACCAATATGTAATTAGCTACAAGTCATATTCAAGGGACATAATTCTTATACTTCAATTTCCATTACACAAGTCATATTCAAGGGACATAACTCTTATACTTCAATTTCCATTACAGTTGTATTTAACTTACCGCTAATGTAACAATTTTTATACTGTTACGGAAGTACACTGCGTGTCGATTACAAGACAATATAGCAATAATATACTATAATAGTGTATGTTCTCGTCAAGATTTGGAGGGGCGGGGTGTCCGTGGCCGAACGGTCTAGGTCGTTGCGCCCCGTGATCGTTGTAGCCTATCACCTCCTAGGTTTTGAATTCGAAATCCGTTCAGAGAAGATAACAATTTTTAAGGACTTCCTTTCCTTGTGGTCGTTAGTACAGCGGGAATTATTTGTCTTTAGCGACATTGCATGCATATCGCTTCGCACGTTCCGCGTGCGCGAGAACGCGGTTACGAACCCGGGTACGTGTTCTGTATGGTCACATTCTAGCGGCCATCTCAGCAGGGCGAACACAGTAAAGTCTTTTCGCTCCGTTTTTTCTCAACAATGGACCCCGAATTAAGCAGACATATCAAGTCTACAGTCGATGAGGCACAGGTGGCTATGTTCTCCCGCTTAGATGTTTTAATGAGCGAAAAGCTGGGCGAATTGGAGGCTAAAATACACGCTAAGCAGGTGGACATTTCTAACGCTCAGCGGGCCCAGATACACCAGGACATTATGTATTCTGATAATCACAAGTTCTTCAAGAAAAGTTGTGAAGAACAGTTCAAGTTTAACCAGAAAGTTACTGCCAAGTTGCAAGAGGCGGAAGAATCATCACTCCATGACCCTAGGGCCACAAAAACACTAATTGTAAAAAGTATGGACATGGTTAATTACCGCCAAAAGTTGATCAAATTGGCCGACACCTCAGAATCGGGATGGAAAGCCGTGGAAGAATATGTGTCCAGTCCCCTTGCTGAAGATTCAGGCGAAAAAAGAATGAACAGAGCACGTTCCAGGGCCGATCGAAAAATAAAGGTTGCGAAGCAGAAATCTGTAACGAAATGGAGATCTCGGTACTCACCACATCAACAACACCGGGTTTATCCAGCACCGACGGAACAACCGGGCAAACGCATAAAATAGCTATTAGAACCCCGAGGCCCGGTTTGTGTTATGGATGTGGTAGGGTAGGATATTGGAGATTGGAGTGCCCAGCCATGTCAACTGCCGGATCCAGCACCGGTCAAAAGCTAAGTAGAATTTTTGATTCTAAGCATGGTCAGCTTAATAGCGATGAAACCGTTCCGACGGTGGTTGTAAAAGATGTGCTTTCATCTTTTGGTAGGTTAAAGAAATGTTTTGTATATTGGAAAGCTTCTGGCAATAATGATGCGGTTTATCGGTAATAGCCAATGGTTATAGGTTACCATTCAAAGAAGTTCCGCCGAATGTTCGTCTGCGAAACAACAAGTCAGCGCGTGACAATATGCAGTTTGTTTATGCAGAGGTCGAGAAATTGCTTCGTATAGACTGCGTGTCCGACGTCAAAAAGTTCGGCCACGTGTTGTAAATCCTCTGACAGTTGCGTACAACCGGGCAGGTAAAGCACGTCTCGTGTTAGATTGTCGTCATATTAGAATCTATTCTTGTACAAGTGCGAATTCAAATAAGAGGACGCGAGCATCGCTCGAGACATGTTTCATCAAGGTGATTTCATGTTCAAAATATTTAAAGTCGGCTTATCATCACATTGAAATTGATCCAGAGCACAGATTTTTCAGGTTTCGAGCTTGAAATGGGCGGAGTTACACGTTCTTTTGTGTTCAATGTTCTTCCATTCGGTGTCTCTACCGCCGGCTTTATTTTCACTAAGGTACTACGACAGGTTGTAAAGCACGTGCGATGTCAAGGTCATCGTTTAGTGCTGTATTTAGACGATGGTATTGGTGGACACGAAACGGTAGGCGGGGCTAGAGAAGCCAGTAATTTCGTTAGGAAATGCTTGACTGATTATGGCTTTCTTATCGCCGAGGAAAAGTCCCAGACTGTCACGTGGCTCAGATACACGCGGGCTTTGAAAGAAGGCGTTGTTAGAGTCTCAGTTGACAGAGTGAATAGATTGTTGTTTTTGCTAAAACACACAGTGGCTTTAGTGAGCGATCGAGGTCATCTTGTTGTTCTCGGCCAGGTACGTCGCCGGCATTGTTGGGCTGGTTATATCCAGAGATGTATATATCACATATATACGTCTCTGTTATATCCACGCAGGGCGTGATAGAGTTGTTAGTCCATTTGCGGACACGTGAACTGAGCTCGTGTTTGTTGACAAGAGTCAGCTGGAATGCTGGAGTATTTCTCAATGCGAGAGCACTTGATGAGATAGAATTTTGGTTGTCTAACGTGCAAGATCTGAACGACAAAGGGTCTGAACTGAGGGAGAAAACGGAATTTTCTAGGGTACTGTGTACTGATACCTCTGAGACAGGATACGGAGGTTTTGTTATCCCGTGTGGGGATCCTCTTATGGAGGGAGATGAAGTGCTCAGTGTCGAGGACACTAATTATGTGCATGACGCATTTGCCTTGACTGAAGGCCAATTTAACCTTCCAACGGTGAAGAGTTTGTACGCTCATAGTAGTCATGTCGTTATGGGAACGTAGAACGATGCCGAGCGCATGCGCAGCTCCACGTGGAGAGAATTGGAAGCGGCCAAGCGACGTCTGTATAGTACTGTGGGTCAGGTCAAAGGTCACAATGTCAAATTGTTAATGGACAACAAGAGCGTGTGTGCTATTGTGAAGGTCGGTAGCGGTAAAACACACCTACAAAAGGTCGCTATGATTCAGATTTCAGATTTCTTTATTTAATTAACCTCAGATCATACATGACATATGAGGATTGACATAATTGCATTGATATACAACATAACGTAGTTAGCATGATATACCTGTATACATTTTACTAATTAATAACAAAGTAGTTTCGGTTATGTACTTGAAAAATGCTTCATAATATGCGAAATAAATTTACACAAGTTCAACAGTTCATTTAAATTGTTTGTTGTCATAATCTTAATGAATTTACGTACATTTGGATTTACATAATATTGTGTACCTATGAAAATGTTTCTTAAATTAGAGAAGTAATTACAGACTAATACATAATGATATTCATCGCCAATTTCGTTGCTATTACATAAAACACATTTCCTATTTCCCCGTGTCATATTGTTCCATCTTCCAACTTCAATAGGGAGACGATGGTTTGTTGTTCTAAATTTGGAAAAACCCTTGACATAGTGAGCGGGTAAGGTTGAGACAAGATAATTTTCTATTCTTAAATCAGACTTTATTAAACTATACATTTGTCCTTTGTTAGAATTAACAATTTGTTGTTGCCATTCCTGAAAGTTCTGGTCAAACAACCTTTGTTTGATAGTATACTTCAGCCAATTCACATTTAAAAAAGATTGACTATGCCAAATATTACTCATACCACAATTGTCCAATGTAGACTTTACTGCTTGTAACCACTGAGACTGGCAATTGTTAAAGTAATTGTATTTCAACAAAAAATGTACACTATGTGAGCAAGTTTACAGTCATGTGACTCGACAATTCTAGCCCAGTAAGTAACCATCCGTGTTTTGATATGTACACTTAGTGGGACACGCCCGGTCTCACCATACAACATATATCTCGGTGTACTTTTTTTAACACCAAGTACATTTCTCAAAAAATCTAAATGTACTTTTTCTATACAGGCTGTGCTTGTGAAACCCCAGATTTCACATCCGTATAACAATATAGGAACAATTGTTTGGTCAAAAAGTATTAATTGACAGTCAACAGGTAATCTTAAACTATGAATTCTAGTATACAGAGCACACTTGGCTTTTGTAGCCTATCGTTCAAGATTAATTTTCGCTTCTGCGAAATTCCTACTTTGTTTAAATACAATACCAAGATATTTGTAACGGTCTACAATTTCTATATCCTTCCCATCCATTCTAAAATGGTGGTTCAGTGTACCTCTACTACCAAAAATAACTATTTTTTGTTTTATTTACATTAAGTTTGAGTTTCCATGTATTACAATATTCATTAAACATATCTAGATTATATTGTAGATCCGTCGCATTATCTGCCATAACAATAGTATCATCGGCGTAACATAAAACGGTAAACTTTATACACATATCCAACATTTCTCTATCGTTCAGAGTTACACCCTCACAACCTTTGTGTAGTAAAAAACCCTCTAGATCGTTCAGAAATAACGAGAAAAGTATGGGAGACATATTTTCGCCTTACCTTACTCCGGTTTCACATGGGGAAAAAAGCTGAATTGGTATTATTTATTTTTATACATGATTTAATACCATTATACATATTAACAATAATATTATACACTTTTCCGTTTATACCATATTGTATTAACTTTTGCCATAAGCCTAGACGCCAAACGGTATCAAAGGCTTTTGGAAAATCTATAAAGGCACAGTATAATTTCTTTTTACCATGTTTTAGAATATCAATTAATGAATGTAAAACAAACATGTTATCTAGTGTACTGTATCCACTACGGAAGCCCGTCTGTGTCTCGCTGAGAATATTACACTGGCTGACATAGTCGCCGAGACGCTTGTTCAGGATCGCCGTGAACAGTTTACCTAAGCAACTTAATATCGTAATAGGCCTATAGTTCTCTGGTTGTGTAGAATCACCACCTTTGTAAATAGGACATATGTATCCTTCGGGCCACGAATCGGGTATACAGCCGGAGTTCAGAATTAGATTGAAAAACTTTACATATAAGGGTAGAAATATATGTTGAGACGCTGTGATATGTTCGTTCAACACTCCGTCGTGTCCTGCTGATTTGCCCGTTTTTAGTTTTTTTTATCGCACTTTTAATTTCCTCTTCCGTTATTAATCCATTCAATAGTATGTTTTCTTGTCCATTGGGTGTAAAATATCTTTCATCCTGTCTACCACTGACATCATCCGATTTATTCAAGTCCCGGAAATACGTATACATATCGTCAAGTGTCACCTTGTTTGTTTTTTCGTTTTAGTTCATATATTTGTTCAATAAACTCCAATATTGTTTAGGGTCCTTTGTTCTCATTTTCCGTAGTTCATTACACATATCTGTGTTGTATTGTCTAATATGTTTGTTCATATATCATGCAGGCGCGTAGCTGCCTATACGCGAGTACGCAGCTGAATCCACATTATTTTGACAAAAAAAAAATTTTTTAGTAAAAAAAATGTGGTTTGAAATTCAGCCGCGTTCGCCAGATCTGATAATTACCACACTGAATACTTTATAAATCATATAGCCTAAATCGTACACCATACCGTAGTATTTTTTTGAAAAGTTGTCGGCCTTTGCAGCTCTTCAAAGTCGGAAGTTTGCACGCGCCGTATTTTCGAAATGTAAACAAATGTTTACATCGAGTTCTTAAAGAAGTCATCAGCAGAATCAGCGATAGAAAAGAGGTAATTATAACTAAAATGTTACTATGTATGCCTAGTGTTTATTTGTTTCGGTCTGTTTGTTGAGTAATGACATGTTTGACCATGTCTGTGAACCGATTCTAGCGAGACTGACAACATTTTGAACTAACCAACCTGAATCAGTGAATTCATGATGCAAATGTGAAAAATTCTGGTGCATTTGTCGTATTACTCTGCATTTTTGAAATAGTTCCTTCTTGGTAGATTAGTTATATTGATACATGGAATTTTTATGAAAAAAACATTTCTGGTAAACACAACGCTCGTCATTTTTTTCATCTACGGAAGCGCATAAAGGTAAAAGTATTCCGATCTCATACATGTACGGAGCCACAATTTATTCTTCCAGGTTCTAATTACGCAAGAAATATTGCACAGAAGAGAATTGACAGCTTCTTCAGCGTAGGTCCAAAAACTGGGCTGTCTGAAAAAGGCACCGATGCAACCGAGCCTAGTACATGTATGTTTACTTTAACATGCTTTTAACATAAAAAGCTACAAACAATAGTCAGTACATGTTAAGTTATACATGTATAGTTAATAATGACAACAATTGTAACTTTTAATTTTGTTTAAACTTTTCAAGATTCAAGGACAGTATGATTTCAAACTTTTACATTACATTCATTGCAATCCATGCTTTAAATATTCGAAATCAAATTGATTCTATAGTCAATTTTATGCACCAAAAATTCTAACACTTGTCCAAGTATCGTCATATGTATTCCATATGTATATTTATAGCGCCCGGTACGTCTGGTGTGAAGGAGGGTCCTGAACCTATGACTTTAGATAAAGATGAGCTCGTGGGGATTGCGTACAGTCCCGATGACTTGTATCCTGATCCAGCAAGGTTAACAAAGGCTTCAGATGACTCGATAAATGTGAAAGTGCTGCAAAACAACAAAGAATGGGCCAAAACTTTTAAGTTTCCGTCAAGGTAAACTGATTCTGATTCATTTGATTTAAAGATGTGAAGTTATAACGGTTGCAGATCAATAGAAAATTGTAGTTTAGTCAACCAGTATTGTATAGAAAAATACCGTTAAAATCTCTAAACACAGTCCCGAGGTCTCAAAATCGATGGTTTATGTTGAGGTCTTTTTGTGAGTGGTACATGTGGGAAAATAGACGCAAGCCCGTCTCTTACCACTCGATTGTAAACGGTCTGCTTCTTCCACTTGTTCGATGTTTGGTTCCATTATAATTATATTAGCGCGCTATGACATGTTTACTATATAATTAAGACGAATAAAGTATAGTGAATATACTCATATATCTGATAACGTTATTGAAGTACCAGTATCATAAGTATACTAGTAAGATACTAGATATATACTATTAAAATGGAATCATTTGCTTCCCTGCTTTCCGGATTTCTATGTATTTGGTTGCAAAATTGTTCCATTTCAAGTTCGTACACTATTTCTTTATTTTATTATTTCAGTATTGAGTATGGAACGAAGCGTCAGTTCTCGGTAGATTGGCTAGAGAAGTATGACTGGCTTCGATATTCAGTTTCCGAGAATTCAGTGTATTGTGCTCCCTGTATTTTGTTTGGTGCTTCATCTCCAAAGGAGAAAACATTCATCAATACCCCAGTATCAAAATGGTCTAACCTTGGAAAGTACATCAAGAGACATACCGAGCCTGGTTCGAGTCATCATAGCTGCTGCGCTAGTGCTAGTGGTTTTATGAAAATCATCGAAGGGAAACAAGCAAGCATTACAGCACAACTGTCGAGAAACAAAGTCGAAACTGTTGCTAAAAATAGACAGGTGCTTAGATCTGTTATAGAGGTCATCATTCTGTGCGGTCGACAAAATATTCCACTTAGAGGTCATGATGACAACAATAGTAACTTTACTGTCCTGTTGAAAGACAAGGCCAACAGGGATGAAATCCTGAAAACACACCTGTCCTCTAAATCTAAGGTTACTTACACTTCGCCTATGATCCAAAATGAATTAATCACTTTGTTGGGAAATAACATAAAAGGCAAGATAGTTCAGCAGTGCAACGATGCTATTTGTTATTCATTTCTTGCAGATGAAGCTACTGACGCGAGCACTATGGAACAAATTGCTATGTGTGTAAGATATTATTCTGAAACTGAACAGGACGTGCGTGAAGACTTTGTGGGCTTTGTGCAAGCAGAATCTACAACAGGAGAGGCTCTTTTTAACAAGTTTATTGAGGGGCAGCGGGACGCAGGATTAGACATCTCCAAGATGAGGGGACAAGGGTATGATGGGGCCAGTAATATGTCTGGTTGTCATCGAGGTGTGCAAGCTCGGGTCCAGCAAGTAGTTCCCCAAGCAATGTATGTGCACTGCAAAGCCCATAGCCTTAATTTGTCAATTGTGCATGCCTGTATAGAGGCACTCGTCAGAAACTTGTTGGACACAGTACAACAAATCGGATTTGCTTTCAAGTACTCTGCCAAACGTCTTTTAGCTTTCAAAGAGGAGCTTGGCAACGATCCCGTGGCACAGGAAGAGATGCAGAAGAGAACACGTCTTCAAAGTCTGTGTGAGACGCGATGGGCTAGTCGGGCTGACGCACTTTACACTTTCAAAGCTGCATACACATCAATTGTAAGTGCACTGGAGGTGCTAGAACGAGAGGGAGACTCAAAAGCACGGAGCTACAGATGCAGTATCCTTGGGTTCGACTTCATCATCTCTCTAGTTGTGGTTGAATTCGTCCTCCAGGGTGTTATGCCTCTAAACAAGCTGCTACAGAAGCAGAATATCGACTTGATCGAAGCAGCCAAGGAGAGTCGAGTTCTTATAGCCACATTTCGTGCAGAGAGAGCCGATGATGCTGTGTGGGATGGGCTTTACGACAAAGCAGTTGCCATGGCAGAAGACCAAGGAGTCGAGCCTTCAAAGCCTAGAACAGCTCGACGCCAACAGCACCGTGGCAACGTGCCTGCCGACTCTGTTTCGGAATACTGGAAAAGAGCATTGTTCTATCCATTTCTTGATCATCTAGTTGTGGAACTAGAAGACCGTCTTGTATCCAGCAATGAGAGGTTTAAGGCTCAATATCTCATCCCAAGCCTTCTTCCTGAGCTCAGCCGAGATCACGAGGATTCCATCTTCCAGGAGTATGAGAGTGACCTCAGTGGGGATCGGGAAGCCTTCCGAAATGAGGTTTCTCGATGGAAAGTAAGATGGGAGCTGGAGGGGACAAAACCCTCAAATCTTACTGACACATTGAAGGCTACGAACAAGACTCTGTATCCAGACATCTTCACCTGTCTAGTTGTACTAATTACGATGCCAGTGTCTACCGCTACCGCCGAGAGGCAGTTTAGTATCATGAGACGCCTGAAAAACTACATGAGATCAACGATGCTCACAGAACGGATGTCTGGACTAGCCCTGTTGCACGCCTACAGACACATGGAAATAGATATTGATATTATCATTAACGAGTTTGCGGCCAGCAAAGGCCGCAAGTTAGACTTGCTGTGAAATGTAGACTAGTTGAAATAAACGAAAGTAAAGCTATTATCTCCATTTTTATGCTAAAATAAATGGATTTTCGTTTAGTTGGTCAAGAAAGCTCTCCGAAGGCCACAAAACGCACCAAATTGCACCATTTATTTAAAAATTTTCAGGGGGGGGGGCATACCCCCTGACCCCCCTAGATTATTTTGAATCCTTTGAATCCACATTCTTTATAGGCTAGCTACGCGCCTGACATCTTTTGTAGCGTTTACTACACCCAAGTAGATTTCTTTTGTTCGCTTCACTTTTATTGTTATTGAACTTTTCCCTTGCGATGTGATAGTGTTCCCTACCACTTTTGCACTCTGTGCCGAACCAAGTTTTATTTGTATTGGACCGTTTGTTTGTCTTTTTTCGTTGTGGAGACGTCATATTGGAACTTGTTCTGAAAACATCGTTGACAATATCAGCCACAGAATTCACAAATTCTTTATCAACCACAGTTGGCACATTGTTCAAGCGTTGTTCTAGTCCGTCGATAGAAATGTTATTAACGAATATACCAGCTTTCTCCTTTTGCCATTTATATGCTTTACAACCGTTGTCAGATACAGAATTATCATATGTTTCTATTTCTCTTGTCAAAGTAAACACAATAGGGCTATGAACATCAGATAATAAACATGAATGGTCCAAGATTTCAAATTCTGTTATGGAAATGCACGCGCTCACGTTCTCTAGTAGCGTCAATCTTGAAACCCTATGGCTTCCTAGAAACGAAAATACAACAGCAGATTTTCTCAGTAGATGTTACGATTCGGACGACTGGTCCGTTCAGGCATGGGTGTTTGATATTTGCGAGACCAAGTGGGGGCCACACGGGGTCGATCGGTTCAGATTACAACACTAAGTGTAAGCGTTTCAATTCACGGTGGTGGTGTTCGGGTACAGAGGCTATTGACGCCTTTACCGTATCCTGGAGTAAGGATAACAAGTGGTTAGTGCCCCCTCCCCGGCTCGTTTGGAAAACTTTAAACAAAATGAGATCGGACGGGGCATTTGGTACTTTGACTGTTCCAGTCTGGAGATCGGCTGCTTATTGGCCATTTTTATGTCCTGACGATATTTTTGCCGATTTTGTAACGGAGTACATTTCTTTATCCAGAAACGGATTCACAAAGCTGGGTAGAGGAAAGAACGGGGTTTTTGAGAAAACTATTTTGTCGTTCAATATGCTTGCAGTCCGGTTGGATTTCAGACATTAGCATGATGTCATATTGATGTGTTGATTATTGTTTTCAACAGGCATAGAACTCTAGGATCAATTGACAAGGCCGTCAGGGATGCCGGGGTACAAGATGGGTCATCGCTCTATTATTTGGCTAGTAACATGATCGATAACTGTATTATGACATGTATATGACATTTTCCCGGTATTTTCACTTTACAGGAAGATAATTTCCTGTTTTCAAAGTTCCAACTACAATTAGAAACACTAAACATTATGATGTTGAACTTTATGGACAATTTAATATTGCTGATTCAACAAAGTTAAAAGGAAATATATGTACATAATGGTGTATGGCACCATTCCATTTACCGTTCCTACCTCAGCATAAATTTTCTACAACTTATCTAATTTAGTGCTCGAAAAGTTATCGCATTTGACTGGCTTACAATTTTCGCAATAGATTAAAAAAAAAACAAAAAAAAAAAAAAAACAAAATCGCCGCTACTTTTGTTGTTTTTTCTAGTTTTTTTCTGAGTCTTTTTCTTCCAACAAATTTAAAATTGTTCCTCTTGTTCTGCTGTCTTCCATCTTGTCAATTAATGTCATCGGCACGCATCGAACTGAGGTTGTTGCAATGTTATATCCATTCGGAGCGCTTTAATGACGTCACGGAAAGTTTCCAAATATGTAAGTTACTTCAATACCAAATTGTTGTACTTATTAATTGCAAGCCATTATGAAGGCGTTTAACGTTCAATATTGGCCTTACGTCTATCATTTGTTTTAGAATCCACTGAATGAGCTAATTGATATCGGCAAATTGTTCTTATTTATGAAATGTTGGAATCCTCTGGATTGAGTTCAGAAAATTGTCATTCGTCCGTCTTGTTTATATATTTGCAAGCGGTAAATCTAATGCTATTTCTCTCCCCCGCTTCCCACAGGCTATGATCTTAAGTCCAGTGTTAGATACACGACTTTATATCGCCTTATACACATTTTCCGTTCTGATAATTTTCGAACTGATTCTGTCCATTCTTGTTTAATTCGGAGGATTCCTCATACTCATTAAACAAATTGTATTAAGAAGATTTTGCCGATAGTTTGATCAGTTCTAGTAGTGGTTTTAGATATTGTTCTCATTACTCCGTTTTTGTCTTTTTTTTGTTCTTTCATTTTAAAGAAGACATTCTGAGCAACTTTGCTGTTTATATAATTTTAGATGAAACACTTCAATTGAGATACAGGTATTCAGTTTTTTAAAACTTCAACTTCTGGTTTGTTCTGTTTTCATATTGGTAACAGAACTTGCATCTAAGTTGCTGATGGTCTTGGCTTCGTTCGAATTATTCAATTGTGCAAAGGTAACTATTAATAACATTGAATTATACCAGCTTGTCATAAGACGGGACTTCTTTATGAATTTTTTTTGCAAGATTTTAATAAGATTTTTACATGCGCATATTGCATATAAAGCATATTGTTCATTTCAACGTATTTCTTTAATTCTGATGTTAAAAGCACACTTCAAGATTTACATGACAGTTATGTTATGTGTCTACAGATAAGGCGGTTACTAACTTTATCTGACCCTTGTCTGCAAATATTATTACCTTTCCTGTATACAAAAATAACTAGGCTTTCTTGATAACAACGAAGTCCCACGTATACATAAAACAATCTTTCCAACGGCGAAATACTGATTAACCGTGCTGCGATGCTATACTCATTTAGATTGCCTATTCATGATCATACCTCCCCCGTTTATATTGACCTTTTTTACCGATCTTTAACGCCCTCTTCTAAAAGAAGGATTTCATCTACCCTGTACACAACCATACCACATTCAAAACTGAAAGATTGCATTCCTTCAAAAATAGGCAGAAGTAAAAGGAAACAAAACGTAAAATGTTAAAGAAATCTATAGTACGCATATTGTACACGTACGTATGTTGATCTTTCAGCACGTAATTACTCTCTGGCAAATCAGCGTACTGGTGGAACTGCGCTTCCACAACAATTATTACATAAGATATGACGAAACTTTGATTAGCGCAATACATATAGCGTGTAAAGCAGGTATA